GCCTTTAGAAACGAATCTGTCAAAAATCAGACTGCATGGGTCGACACATAATGTCTTGAGTCGACGCGTACTGGACTAACATCCTGCATGAGTCGACGCGTAATCCCTTTGTATCGACTCATACTGAGTCTGCAACACCGCATGTATTTACGCATGCTCCTTCGTATCGATTCATCCTGAGTCCAAAAACCTGCATGTATCGACGCATGGCCTTTGAGGTCGACTCATATTTATCTGTCATGAATATTTTCTGCGATTTCACTGCTTTTTCACCGCGAATTCCATGCCTTAGGCCCTAAAAACATCCTCTAATCATAGTTTATCATCAATTATAATAATACTATGTTTCTACATCAATTATACATCATTAGGGCATCATTATTCATCTCTAAATCATTGATCCTCATCAAACAACAATATATATATATATATATATATATATATATATATATATATATATATATATATATATATATATATATATATATATATATATATATATATATATATATATATATATATTTCAATCATAAACAAAACAACCTTTCACATCTAATCCCACATACTAATCATCATAAACCCTATTATAGAGTCAGAACCCCACCCTTACATTGGATTGAAGGTTGCTCTATAACTTTTCCGGTTGAACTCCGTTCTGGCTCTTCTCCTTCTTTTCTGCAACTTTCATATTCTCTTTCTCTTCTTCCAACCCTTATTTCCTTCTCTTCTTACTGCTACTTCTTTTTCATATTAATTCTAAATAACTAATATAATAACCCTATAATTCTTATTATGTCTTAATGGGCTTAAAACTCCTACACCCCCTTTCTACTACTTCTAGTCCTTAAAATAAGCCCACATCAAATAATATTATTATTCTAATATTATTCCACAAATTAATAGAATAAATAAATCCAATAAAAATAGCACACAACTATCATCATAACACAACTTCACAAATATTCCAAAAATAGTTTAATTAAATAATTAATTAAATTACGGGCGTTAGAACCATGCCAAAAATTACTGGTCAAACAAAGAAAGGAAGTCAGAAGAAGCAAATATAGCCAGAGGAGAGTTTGATGATGAACCTGTGCTATTTATGGCTTATGAATCTTATGAGGAATTTGTGAGATTTTCATTTTATGATTTTGAAGGGGAGGAAGATGACTCTGAATATTCTGACTCTGAAGGAGTGTTTAAATATGAGTCAGAATCAGAAGATGAAGCTGAAGAAGAATCAGAAGATGAGTTAGAATCTGAAGAAGATTTTGCTTCTGAAGATGAGTAAGAACTTGAAAGTTCTGAAGTAGAGCTAGAGTCAGAAGATGAAGAATCTTCTGGAGACTCTAAAGGTGAGTCAGATGGTGAATCTGATTCTGATCCATATTTTGATGATGATCTAAAATCTGGTGGTGATCATGCTTCTGGAAGGGAAAACTCTGAAGACGTAGGTTATGGAGGACAAGCTTCTTAAGATGATCATGTTTCTGGTGGAAATCATGTCTCTGAGGGTGAACCTTATGAAGGATGAGCTTCTAAAGGTAAGCTAGCCTTTGACAGTGATCATGATTTCAAAAGTGAAACTTCTGAAGGCAGAGCTTCTGAAGGTGATCCAACTTTTGAAGATGGTATTTCTGAAGGTAGTGGTTCTAAACGAGGTCTAGAAGCTAACAAAGGTGGATCTTCTGGTGGTAGTCAAACTTCTGAAGAAAGTCCAGAAGGAGATTCTGAACAAGTCTAAAGGCCACAACGAGTCAGAAGCATCCCAAGAATATTTGTAGAGTTTGGCATGTTGCAAGACACTGAAGTAGACTCCAAAGGAGAAATTATTCAGTGTGCAATGTTAGTAGACTCTGAAATCGTGAGTAGAGAAGATACTCTTAAGCAGAAAGTCTGGTTGCAAGCCATGAAAGAAGAACTTGATGCTATAGAGAGAAACAAGACTTGGAAGCTGACAGAACTTCCAAAAGGCAAGAAAGCCATCAACATCAGATGGATTTTCAAGCAGAAGCTAACGCCAGATGGATCAATTGGAAAACACAAAGAAAGATTAGTAGAAAGAGGTTTTCTACAGAAGTCTGGGCTATATTACTCTGAAGTGTTTGCACATGTAGCGAGACATCAAACAATCATACTAGTGATTGCAATAGGTGCTAATAGGAATTGGCCTCCGATGCATTTAGATGTAAAATTTGCATTGCTGAATGGTCCATTACAAGAAGAGGTATACGTGTCAAAACCTCCTGGATTTGAGAAAAAGAATCAGTAAGGGATGGTGTTCAAATTACACAAAGCCTTGTATGGATTGAAGCAAGTGCCCAGAGCCTGGAATCTGAAGATTGATTCATTTTTCAAGGAACAAGGGTTTCAGAAGTGTGAGATGGAGTATGGTGTTTATGTTCAACATACTTCAGAAAGTAATATGATTCTGGTATGTTTGTATGTTGATGACATATTGCTAACAAGAAGTTTTGAACAAGAGATAGCTAAGTTCAAGAAGGTTTTGATGAATGAGTTTGAGATGACAGATCTTGGGAAAATGAGTTACTTTCTAAGAATGGAGTTTATATACTCATAGAAATGAATCATTTTGCATCAGATGAAGTGTGAACTTGAGCTTCTGAAGAGATTTAAGCTGGAGAATTGCAAAGCTGCTACCATACCTACTGATACGAATTAGAAGTTGAACTCTGATTATGATAGACAGGATGTGAATGCTACAACCTTCAAACAATTGGTTGGTTCTCTGAGGTATTTGTGTAATACTAGACCTGATATTTGTTATGCAGTTGGAATGGTTAGCAGGTTTATGAGTAAACCAAAGTGGTCTAATTACCAATCTGCTGTTAGGATTCTGAGGTATGTGAAATGAACTCTGAAGTATGGAGTGTTATTTCCTTCTGGAAGAAAGACCGAATCAGAATTTCTGAGTTATTCAGACTATGATTGGTGTGGAGACAGAGTTGACAGAAGAAGTGCGTCCGGGTACTTATTCAAATTTCTGGGAGGTCCTATTTCTTGGTGTTCCAAGAAGCAATCTGTTGTTGCGCTGTCAACCTGTGAAGCTGAATATATTGCAGGCGCTTTGACTGCATGCCAAGCTGTGTGGATTCTGAACTTGTTGCAAGATCTGAAGATTGAGGTAAACAAACCTCTGAAGCTGATGATTGATAACAAGTATGCACTCAATCTTGCCAAGAACCCAATGCTGCATGGGAGAAGAAAACATATTGAGACCAAGTATCACTTTCTGAGGAATCAAGTTCAAAGTGGAATATTAGAAGTTATGCACTGTAGCACTCAGAAGCAGCTGGCGGACGTTCTAACAAAGGCTATCAAGACTGGTCAATTTCTTCGTTTGAGGGATGAAATTGGTGTTGTCAGTTTTGTGTAAATATAAATTAAGGGATGATGTTGGAAATAATTTATATTTTAAGAATGTCTTATTGACTAAGTTTGTTAGAAAGTATTTTAATATTTTATTATATCCTAACTTTGTGTATAAATAGCCTAGTAGTAGGTCAATATAATTATTCATTACTCTTTATTTTGTAGCCGTCATTTAATATATTCCTTTTATCTTTCAACTCTCCTTATACACCAATAAAATTGAGTAGGGGTGTTCGCGGTGCGGTTTAGGCAGTTTTGAAGCAAAAAATCACCCGAACCGCAAGAGAAAAAAACATGCGGTTCAGTTTGGTTCGATTGACTTTTAAAAATAAATCTGAACCAAAACAAACAAAACTAATGCGGTTTGGATTGGTTCGGTTGGTTCAATTTTTTACAAAAAAAATTATTAAGTCATACATACAAATATAGAGGAAAAATATAATTTTGTGTTTAACTGTTCATACATTACCATAATTTTTTTTTATAATTGTCAAAATAAGTTTATAATTTGATACATAAAATTGCGTATTATAATTTTATCTAAGTCTAAAGAATAATATAAACAAGATTGCATTCTTAAATAAATATTATACAAAGAATACGATAAAATATATTTTGTGAAAATAATATTTATAAATGAATAATATTTTATTTTTTTATAATTTGTAAATTAAAATAAATATAATACAAAGTATGATAAAATATACACATAATACATGTTTATTTCTCTAAAGAATTAAAAATATATATATTAGTTAGTAAGATTTTATAACATAATGTGGTTTTGTTCGGTTTGGTTCGGTTTGTAAAATACAAACTGCAAACCGAACCGAAGTATGCAGTTAATGACCCAAACACATTCGAATCAAATGAAATTTTTTGCGATTTCAGTTTGATTTAATTTGATTTTGCGATTTTCTATTAGACCAGTTTGGTTTTGAATACTCCTAAAATTGAGATTGTTTCATACTTTTTAATCCTATTAGACAACAAAATAGTAATATTTTAATTATATTTAAAATATTTTATAGCAGCGGGTTTAAATCTAGTAATACTAAAGACAAACGATTTTATCCAAGTGTGGTTAATTATTCCGTAGGCGTGTCCCCTATTTTACCGCCAACAGTCCAAGATAGAAGAAACTAACTTTTTTTTAGTATATATTACGTGTTGTTATTTTTGGTGATATTAATAATTATATTAGACAAATTTAACTGACTTGTCTTATATTTAAGATTTTTTTGGGTGAATAGCTAGGGCTTTTGAACCTATTTTTAGGAGAGATTCTTGCAACATTATCATGAGTCTCTGTGAACGGTTTTTCTATATAATGTAAACACTAAACCCATGCTTTTTGTTTCCTGTTTATGCAGCACACAAAATACTCTCACTTACCCTAACCCTACTTCATCAACGTACAATTTTTCAACAGGTTCTTATTCTCACTATTTTTCTATTGCTTTGTTTAATGTTTTAGTATTGATTAATCATGGCAGATTACTATTTTTGTCTTGTCAAAATCAGGAACAAAAAGAAAGTTATTAGGCAAGAAATTCAATGCAATAACACTCTTTTTTTCATCTTTTCATGCAGAATTCTATTTTAAAATGGCGAAGTCTATGAAACCAAGAACAAACTATTGCAATCAAACTCCTTCTAATAAGAAGAAGGAGAAGGAGTCAAAGAAGAAGTTGATTGATGGGAACAAAGATGTGGAGCCTCAGCTATGGCATGCTATTGCTGGAGGAATGGTTGGAATTCCAGAACTTAACTCTAAGATCTTCTACTTCCCTCAAGGTCATGCCGAGCATGCGTATGAACCTGTCAATTTTCCTGCTGACTTCAAAATTCCATCACAAATTCCATGTAGAGTTGTAGCTATCCATTATAGGGCTGATCCTGACACAGATGAAGTGTATGCAAAACTCAGGCTTGTTCCTCTGCATATTAGCGAAGTTAGTTTGGTTGATGATGATGTTGTTGGCAACGATAATATGTCTGAAACTAAGAATAAATATCAATCTTACACGAAAACCTTGACAAGGTCTGATGCAAACAATGGTGGTGGATTCTCTTGTCCTAGGTATTGTGCCGAAAAGCTTTTTCCTCCACTAGACTATTCAGATATGCTTCCTTCTCAGGACATTTATCCCAGGGATGTGCATGGAGAAACATGGAGATTCAGACATGCTTATAGGGGCGCACCAAAGCGGCATCTGTTTACAACTGGGTGGAGTGGTTTTGTGACCGATAAGCTACTTGTTTCCGGGGATTCACTTGTGTTTGTGAGAGATGAATACAATGATCTTCATGTTGGAATTCGAAGGTCTAAAAAACGAAACGATTGTGGATTTAAATTTTCATCAAAGAGGAAATTGGGTAGTGAAACTGGAATTTGTCTTGGACCATCGCCTTTAGGAGAGTTGAGAATAAGTGATAAGGTGATGGGAATTGGAAAAGTGAAGGCTGAAGATGTTATTGAAGCAGTAAAACTTGGTGTCAATATGCAACCGTTTGATGTGGTTTACTATCCTCGGGTTGGTACTCCCGAGTTTTTTGTGAAAACCTCTTTAATTAGAACAGCACTTCAGATTAGGTGGTGTTGTGGAATGAGGTTCAAGATGGCCATTGAAACAGAAGACTCGTTAAAGATAAATTGGTTTATGGGAACAATTGCTTCTGTTCAGACTGTTGATCCAGCATGGCCCGACTCTCTTTGGAGACTTCTCCAGGTATAGAAATGTTTATTACATACTCCTTTTGAACTCAGATTTATTAACAGATATAACTAATAGTATTTTTAAAATTTGTTTGATCAATTTTTTAGGTGACATGGGACGAACCTGATTTACTTACAAATACGAAAATGTTGAATCTGTGGCAAGTCGAAATAGTATCGGACATGCCTTGGTTACCTTTTCACCCTTTCTTGCCATTAAGCAAGGAACTGAGATTGCCTCAACACCCAGCTTTTCCCATGGATGGCCAATTTTCAATGCCAACTTTTCCAAATGTTCCAGTTACTAGTACTGCAGGCATGCATGGAGCCAGGGATGAGTATTTCCAACAAAGATTTAATCACCATACCTCAACATCGACGACTGCCCCTAATAACCTTACATTGCAAAAGGAGAGCAGCAGTGAAAATGTTTCAGGCTTGATATCAGAGAAACCGGATCATGCAAAACCGAAACACTTGGTGCTTTTTGGCCAGACAATAGTTCATGCGAAGCCGAAACAGTTGGTGCTTTTTGGCCAAAAAATACAGATTGACTCGGGAAATGAAAATGATGAGGAGAAAATCACTAATTATTCTTCTGATTCTCCTCTACAAAACTCCTCTAGTGAGAGGCTGGAGTGTGATCTAGAGAACCAATGCAAAATAGATACATTGGAAGGAGAAACAATGGAGATTGAAGATTCAGGTAAGAATCAGTAATGAATAAAATGTAGTATTCTTTTATGTATTGCAAAAACCGGTTCATCTCTTAGAAATTGATATATGATAATAATATTTTTGATGATGTTTCAGTGAGTTCATCAAAAGTGGCAACGTGACAATTCTATTAGCAATGGAAGGAAGAAGTGTGATCGTGTAATGTGAGAATCCAATAGCCATAATTTCATATAAACATGATCTTGGGTTTTATTACAAGTTGTCTATGTATTCTAACACTTCCACAATTCAGTTCAGTTCTGATTCATCTTGTATAAAGTTTTTATTTTAAGTTTATTTTTGTTGAATCATACTAATTAAAAACAACCTTATATCGAGTTTAGAAATTTTACATTATTTACGGGTTAAAGGGGTAACATTGGAACAAAACAATGTTATATGTGTTTTTTTCCAAATATGTGACATATCTCAAATTTGTCTTATCGATTTTTAACCAATTTATTCTTTATCATTATTAATGTTATCATTTTCTTTATAATATAAAGTTTTGATTATAGTCAAATTCATATGTATTATGGAGTTTAAGTTTATAAAACGGGGTGTGTTTGTTATTAAGATTCTAGTCCATTTAAGGTTTGTTTAATAAAGAAGGGTGTGTTGGTTACAAAGAGAGGCATGCGTATAGAATATCAATGGCCCATTAAGACAATTTTGTTTGATCCGATTAAATAATAAGAGAGAGAAGCGTTATCATACCATTTTTTTGATGACCCATTAACCTAGTTTGACCGAGTCAACTTTCCATTTTACTATAATTATTTTCTCTTCTTTATCTATTACATTTTTTCTATATTATTATCGTTACTTATTTATTAATAATTATTATTTTGTTTTTTTGTCAATAATTATTCTTTGTTTCTGAAACGTTGACCTTAGTTAAAATTTAGGATTGAAACCCTAAATTTCCTTTGCAAGCCAACGACGACCTGTTTTGTGTTACACTAAGCTATCCAAAAGAAATGATTACTGTATAGATCAAATCTTTCATAAAAAACAAAATCAATTCAGATGTTGCACAAAAAACAAATTGAATCTCAAATTTGTATATCATTACAGAATCGTCCAAAATCAATTACAATATCTAAAGCAGAATCAAATCTTTTCTAAACAAATCAAATCCCTAATTGATTCAAACACTAAAATATAACGACAATTAGAAATATCTTCCTAATTTGTCTAAAATTCTAACATATAAACAAAACCTAAAACTAATTGAAAAAGGGAGGAAAAAAATTAGAGGGGAAGAAATTGGAGAAAACGAATCATAACAGAGAAGAAGCCAATTTGCAAGTCAGCCACCTTCGTGAGATCTGAGTTTCAATTTCTGAAACCCTAGATCTGTGTTTCAAGTTGCGTCTCCATCATCTTCATCGTTGCCATTGTTCTTCACACCTGCAATCAGAGAAGAAGAAAAAGATAGACAAAGGGAGAGAAAGTCAGAAGAAGAGTTGATACGACAATATTCACTGCATCGGACTGTGAGCCTAATACTTAGCTTAGGGTTTTAAATTTTTTGCTGTAATGGCAGCGTAATTGGTGTTCATTGTTGTGCATTTCTGAAATTTTGTGGGGTTTCTGAGTTTCTAGGGTTAGGGTTCTAACTTAGGATTAGGGTTCCTAGATACTAAGGGTTAGGGTTCATCACGTTTAGGTTTTTGGGTTTTTGTTGGGGTTAGGGTTCATCCAGAACCCTAGGGTTAGGTTAGGGTTCTTTGATCTTCATAGGGTTAGGTTGAAGATTCATTAGGGTTCGTGTTTTTGTTGAAGATCTGGGTTGGGTTAGGATGAACGTATGAACGTTTCTGGGGTTTTGATGAAGATTCATATGAATCTAGGTTTTGGGATGAATCTGGATGGCGGTTAGGTTTGAATCTGGTGGTGCCTTGGGGCAGCCGCCGGCGGAAGTGATTTCCGGCCGGTGACGCCCAAGGCGGAGGCGATTTCCGGCGACGAAAATCTAGAGAGAAGTTGGAGATTCTCTATCTAGCCTCCAATGATTGTGTTATGTTTTTGGGTGAAGAGAGAGGGTGTTTCCAGTGATTTCTGGTAAACAACCGCTAGTCTTCCAAACTATCAAATAATCTTTATTAATGCTACTCAATCTCTTTGGTAACTCACAGGATCGACTAGATTGATCCTAGGACTCCTTGGATATCAAGGTTACTCTCACAATCGAACAATTATTCATGGGTGCTATTGTATAAATGTTTGGTTTATTTCGATCCCTCTCTCTAAGAGTTTAAAATATGGTCAAAATGTATGTGAAAACTAAGTTGTACGAATGATTGCTAATTGTAAGGCTGATTGAAAAGACATATAAAACTGTATAGAAAATGAAGTAACTGGTTTCGATCCATAAAACATTTAACATAAAAGGTTTCTGGAATGTGGAAGTTTAAAATGCGAAGAAAGCGTTTAATGCAAGAAATCTAGAAAGGAGTTTAAGTGAAAGTAAATGTTTGAAGAATAATACTTGAAAGTAAAGACATTTGAAAGCGTAAAAGTTCTCTGAAATATGAAGTGCTTCGAAATATAAAGAATGCAATAAAATGTGAAACTTTGAAGAAAAGATTTTGAAATGAAAAGACAGTAGATAAAGAAACTTGTAAATGTTATTCGACAGAAAGAAAAAGAAAGAAAGTGCTGGAAATAGTAAAAGGCTTTTATTAAATTAAAAATACACGGTGCTATCATACATACATCTCTCTTGCATTCGTTTCCCTTGCCATGTGGTAGTTTGAATGTTATTGAGTATTTTGTATAACAGATATGACACACTGAAATCCTAACACTAAGACTTCTATTTATACTAATTCGACCCTAACGGTCTCGCTACAAGATCATGCCACGTTTCGAACATGCAAGACAATGCACCTTTCATCTTTCCACGTGTCCTCAAATGCTCCAACACATAACTTTCAAACTTTGAAAGTCCCGCTTTCATTTAAATTTCAAATGCTTTGGTGTTTCTCTGCTTCGAACGCTCTTCTCAGACTTAGCTTCGCTGCTGTTTCGAGATCCCTTTGGATACGCTCCCAAGATCACCGTTCGAAGCTTCAAGCTTTGACACACTCATTCGAAACACTGCTTCTGCAATTTCGAAGCGTGGTGTTTTAATTCCATTTCGATCAGAACTTCTAACTCTTTTTGAATTCTAAATAACATTATCAAAATCTTCAGCCAACAAATTGCCCCTTTAAAATATGTATTTCGATCTCTCTGAGAAATACCTATTTTAAACATTTATACAAGATTTTGATAGGATCTTCGAATCATCATAGCATTTAATGCGTTTGACCCTAGTCACATCAATCATAGCACCCTTTGGGTACCTTAACCGCCCAAAGTCACTTCACAGCATGGTGCAGTTATAAGTAATGATTGTTTTTAAAATCACGCCTATTACCTATATCAACTTCTCGCCACCTCTTCATCACACCAATCCATGATCTCCACGTATCATACTTTCACTCGGTGGATGTTTCATCTTCTCATTATAAAACGTCAATTTACCCTTCCTTTTTCCTTCTTTACACTCTAAACCTTTCACACTCTGGAATTTTACTCTTCTTCTCTCATAAACACTCTAAGTTCTCAAACAACAAAAATGTCTTCTTCCACATCATCCCAACTCAAGAAAGCTTCCAAGAAGAAGGGAAAAACTACAGGAGCAACTATGGAGAGTAAAATCGTCACCATTCAAGGCCAATCTGCTCTTGCTCCTCAAATGATCTCCAAAGAAAAAGAAATGTTGTACGCATCACAGGTACTCATCCCTACCCATGTTGCTGGTAAGAGGTTAGCCTTAAATGGCCCTCTTACAGTTTTTGAAATACTAAAAGACACCAGGACCATTTTTCCCGTGTGTTACAACTTCAAACCTTTATTCAACAAAATGGATGCCCCTAGGGCAGCAGAATTTCTTAATCCGAAAACCACAGAAACCTCAACTGTTCATCCCAAGGACCCATTTATCTTGGATTATGTAAAAAGCAATTTTAAACCATTCCGATCTTGCCCTACTGCTGATGTTGCTTATCAAAACTGGTTTGCGAAAGTAGAAGCCAAAAAATCCCAGCAATGGGAAGAACTAGGCATTTATAACCTTATTAAGCTGTCGAAACCTGGATTCACCTATAGTCATCCTCTGCTATTTGCGTCCCTCTACTTCTGGGATAGTACCTACAACACTTTCCATCTTCCAGGTGGAATGATTACCCCAACCTTCTTCGATATAGCAGCCATTACTGGGCTGTCGCCAGTGGGGGAAACCTACGTTCCTGACAATGAAGAGCACTCAAGCATAATTGACTTCGAAGTCAAGTTAGCCAGCTTCTCCAAATTTATCGGCCATTATCATGCTGAAGGGGATAATGTATCTGACACAGAGCACATTGCTTTCTTAACTCTGTGGCTGTCTAGGTACGTTTTCTGTAGTAGATCCCTGCAGGTAGCTAGTAGGTTCATTCCTTTAGCTAGGGATTTACACGAAAATCGCAAAGTGTGCCTAAGCGAATTACTCTTAGTTGACCTCTATGAGAGCCTGAGGTCAGCTGTTTCGAGCCTCAAATCCCACAATTCCAAAAACATTCTTTTAGCTGGCCCATTTTGGTTACTTCAATTATGGCTCAATGCCATGTTCGAACCTTCTTTACCAACTGCCAACACCATAGACGAACAAGATGCAGAAATAAGTGATAGGATAGTCGAAGGCACTAGGCTTCGAAGACTAACCCCTAGTGATGACAAGGATGACTTCAAGGTTCAATTTTCGAAGTACATCTTGATACTCTCAAAAAGACACAAGTTCGAAGAGAGCATGGCGCCCTTTGCTTCGAGGGCTCATGGACCTTCTTGGTTCACCATGGCTCTCTCAGAAGCCACCAAGAGTAAGGAAATCCAAGATGTGTGGAGAGCTTTCTTGCTTCCTAGACTTATCTCTTCAAGGATAACCCCAGCTAAGAACCAAATTCTTCTCTTTG